CTCTTCATGGGAACAGAGAGCCTCATCTTTCTCCCGGGTCATATGGTAGCTGTATGCTAAACTTCTAAAGAAATGGTTAAACTGTTTTCAGATTAGTTGTGCTGTTTTACATTCCTGCTAGCAGTATTTGTGATTTCCAGGTGCTGCACATCATTACCAACACACTCGGTATGACAAGTGGCCCTGTACCTGGAGACATTCTGATAGATTTGTGTGGTTTCATTGTGGTCTTGTTAGGTGCCATAGAGTTGGTGCCGACCCACCTCGACCCTGTGTCCAACAGAGTGAACCATGGCCCGGTCCTCACACCTGTTCCCGTGTTGGAGCCCCTTGTTGCAGTCACTGTGTCAGCCCCTCTTGTGGAGGGCCTTCCTCTTCCCCGCTGCCTTCTCCAGGCTCTGTCTTGCCATCTCCGACTCTGGTCGTTCCAAGACAGATTTGTTCGTCCTTTCAACATTCTTCTCCAGCACCACAACTCAAATGCCTTGATTCTTCTTTGGCCAGCCGTATTTAGTGTTCAACTGTCACATGCATATTTAAAATCAAATCAAGAAAAAAAATAAAACAAAGCTGATTTAAATCCATATAATTTAAAATGGAAGACCCTTCCTTTGGACCCAGTCATTAAGAATATCTCCTTTGTTTAGGGCCCGGAAGGCACCCTGGTGATACAATGGTTAACTTTCTGATGCTTAGCTGAAAGGGTGGTGGTTTGAATGCACCCAGGAGCTCCGTGGGAGAAAGGTCTCGACATGTACTCCTGACAACTTTACGGAACAATTCTAGTCTGTCACATAGTGTTGCTATAACTCCAAATTGGCTGGACAGCACCTCCTAACAGCAGCAACAACCAAGTGTCAGGATCTATCTCCCCTATGGAAGAATGAGAGACAGCCACACACTAGTCAGGAGGCTGTCGTGTCATTGGGTAGGTGTTGGGCTGCTAACTACAAGGCCAGCAGTTTGAACCCACCAGTCACTCCTCAGGATAAAGGTGAGGCTTTCTACACCAGTGAGGATGTACAGCCCCAGAAGCTCCACCTTGCCCTCCATGGTAGCTGGGAGTCTGAACCAAATGGATGGCAACGAGTGGGTTCCGTGCTAGTGAACTTCCAGAGCCCACGGGTGGATCATCTTCATTTTGTAAGGCCATCAAAGATTACTGAGCGCGTATGGTGTATGCCACATACTGAGATCTCAGTGCATTCTTTTTAATCCTGCAGATTCCTGGAAAGGTATGTGATCCACTTTTAAGATCAGAAACAAGCCTTGGTGGTGAAGTGACTTGCCAAAAGAACATTCTGTGGCTGTAGAGGTGGGGTACTCTGTGCTGTTGTCCAAGGCTCCTTGTGGGCTCTGTACCAAAGAGAGTTTTTGGAACCCAGTCATTACTGGGTTCCAAAGGTTATCTGCCATTTTAAATTCTGTTAGGTCCTGGTAGTTTATTGCTTGGCTTTAGAAGAATTTACAGACTCATTTCCTTGCCACGAAAATCTTTAAGAACACTTTGTTCTAATAATCCTGAATTCTGTGATGCTCACCTTCTCTGACACGATCACTGAAGACAAAGCGGGTGAATAAGCAAATGTGGTGAAGAAAGCAGATGGTGCCCAGCTATCAAAAGATACAGCATGTGGGGTCTTAAAGGCTTAAAGACGTGGCCATCTAGCTGAGAAGCAACAAAGTCAACATGGAAGAAGCACAGCAGCCTGTGTGATCACAAGCTGTTGATGAGATCAGATATCGGGCATCAAAGACCCAGAACAAAAAATCATATCGATGTGAATGCGGGGGAGGGCAGAGTGGAGACCCAAAACCTATCTGTAGACAATTGGACCTCCCCTTACAGAAGGGTCACAAGAAAGAGATGAGCCAGTCAGAGCACAGTGTAGCATTGATGAAACATACACCTTTCCTCTAGTTCTTTAATACTTCCTTCCCCCACTCTCATGACCCCAATTCTACCTTACAAATCTGGCTAGACCAGAGTATGTACACTGGTACAGATAAGAGCTCTCAACATAGGGAATCCAGAACAGATAAACCCCTCAGGACCAATAATGAGAGTAGTGATACCAGGAGGGGAAGGGGAAGGTAGGGGGAGAAAGGGGCAACCGATCACAATGATTGACATATAACCCCCTCCCTGGAGGACAGACAACAGAAAAGTAGATGAAGTGAGACAGCGGTCAGTGTAAGACATGAAAATATATATATAAATTATCAAGGGTTCATGAGGGAGGGATGAGCTGATACCAAGGGCTCAAGTAGAAAATAAAATGTTTTGAAAATGATGATAGCAACATATGTACAAATGTGCTTGACACAATGCATGGATTGTGATAAGAATCGTATGAGCACCCAATAAAATGGTTTAATAATTTAAAAAATTTTCCAGGGCTGGGGTCAGGCAAAAAAAAAAAAAAAGAAAGAAAGAAAGAAAATGATGATGGTAACATATGTACAAATATGCTTGACACAACAGATATATGAATGGATTGTGCTAAGAGCTGTAAGAGCCCACAATAAAATGATTTTTTAAAAATCTTGCTTTATACTTAATATTTGTTTCTCTTTTTTAGTTTTCTCCTGTTTGGTTTTTTGCATAAGTAGAGTAGGAAGTTATGACTTCTGATTCTCTTAATTGTGAAAAGTAACATTTTCTTAATTGTGAAAAGGGGAAACCTATCTTTTTTTTTTTTAGCCTAGGAACAAATTTAAAATGGGTCAAAAAGGAGCTCAAATGATAATGTGGTACATTTTAACCTAAGTGCATACATCTGCACCTATTCACTTTACAGTGACACTGTTTGATAGCAAGGCTATTCTCACCCCCAGTGTGTGGTCAGAGGGTACTCATCAGAGGCTTAATGCACTCAGAGACCTTGCTAATGGATTGTGGGCTTTCCAGTGTCATCCGTAACCATCTGTAAACTGAATGTTCAGAATTTAAGCTCTAATACAGTTTCCTCCTCCATATTTAGATTGTATTACTTATAACCCCTGGATCACACAGGCTGGTGTGCATTTTCCGCATAGCTGACTTAGCCGATACCTCACTTAGATGGCTGCTTATTTTAAGACAAGCTATTAAGGCCTCAGACGCTGTCCTTTCTGATAGCTGGGTACCATCTGATTTCTTCACCAGACTTTGCATGTAGAGCATCCATATTTTCAATGATCTCTTCATGAGGGTAGCACATGGATGGATGGTTTTATAAATAAACACCCAGTAGCTATTATCCAGGTCAACAAATCCAACCAAAAACATTCTGTCTCTGTGTGTATGTGTGCATGTGTGCTGTGCGTGTGAGAGAATGGGTCAGTATTCTGACACCAGTGGTTACCATCTCTTTGTACTTTGACTACCTATAGCATATCTCATATATACCATATGTACTCGTGTACAAGCCTAGTTTTTCAGCACATTTTTTATGCAGTTTTACTGGCAAAATTAGGTACCTCAGCTGATATTTGGGTCAGCTTATATTCGATTATGTGTAACTCCACCTCACTTCTCCTCAAAAGTCCAAAGCCATTATAAGTCAATTCTGACTTACAGTATAGCATTCCTGAGACTCTACATCTTTACAGGAACAGAATGCCTCGTTTTCTCCCTTGGAGCAGCTGGTACCAACTTTGTAGTTCTCAATCTACTGCCTAACCCACAGCACCACCAAGGTATAAATCAGTACCAACTTCTCAAGCTATTGATTAGACATATAATTGTTACGCTGCTTACAGTTAGTCAGTGCATTGGGCTGTGACTTAACTTTGTCACTCATTTTAGCATCAGCTTCCCCTGTATTTATCAGTCCTTGTTACTTTGTGTGTGTGAGCGTGCTGCGAAGTGTGTGTCCATGCCAAGATGGAGTAAGTTCAGTTGCCCTTTGCCATGTGCTGATGTCTTTCCCCCTTTCCTTTCTTTCTCCTTCGCAGCATTGGTAAGTTCTCTCTCCATGGGGATGATCTTCTTCTGCTGTCCAATAGTCAGCGTCTTCACAGACCTGTTCGGTTGTCGGAAAACAGCCGTGGTGGGCGCTGCCGTCGGATGCATTGGGCTCTTGTCCAGTTCTTTCGTAAGGTAAGGGCTTCCCCCCTCCCCATGTTGCTTTTAGCTATACAACTGTTGTGTACCTTGAAATGAAGCATTTCAGAAACTCCCCTTTTCACTGCTCACAACTGTGAGTAACAGAACTTCTAAACTGAACCATTGGCCAGAGCAGCACATCAGATTTTGATGACCTGAAAGCTTTTGTCTGCATCATTTGGATTTTAAATAGCTAAATTTATTTTTGATAGAAATTAGATCTTCTATCTTTAAAATACCTGATTTTTTTTTCTTCTAAAGTTTTTTTAAAGGAATAAAATTCTGCTTAGATAATTTGATTAAATCGCTTACCTTTAGTTCTCTTTTTAGCAGTAATAATTTAGCATTGTGTTATCGACTGTCTATCTCATCATGTGTTCTCTTTGATCTGAAGCTTCCAGGTACCCACTGTCAGTACCTGTGCTAAGTATCGTGGGAAAGTCTATTCAGAATGAGTGAAGTACTACCCTATATATCTGTACTGTGTTATGCTTTTATTTGCGGGGTGGGCATTTTGTTTCACTAAAGCATAACTAGTAGTTTGAAGGCAGACTGCATTTTAAAGTACTTTTCTCACCAATTGCCTGCTGCACAGCAGCTGCTTACTATGTGCTTGTTGAATGAAGAGTAAAGATGCAGCAAAAGGGGGGGTAAAATTGATCTGGGAAAACCCACGAATGGTTTTGGGGTCTGATTTGAAAATGGCGCATCAGTGGAGGCGGGGGGGCATCTCAGGCAGAGCTATCACAATGCCTTAATTTTATCAGATTCTAGGGTTCCTTCTGATTACTTTGGCACATTGCTATCCTAGCATTATTCTCCAAAATTTAATTATTAACTATCTTTATCTTCATTTCCAATAAATACTTTGCCTTTAATACTGACAAATGTTCTTTCGAATTGGACTTTTCCAAAGGAAAACAAAACAAAACCCTTCGGTTCACGTTTAACCTTGGACCCTAATTGATTCCAAGAAAGTCATGCCATGATTCTTCCCCTGGTGAGAGGCGTGCAGTTACGTCTGTTTGCTGAACTAGAAAGCTCTCCGTCCCTTCTTGTTCTTTGGAGGCAGGCATGGCCTGGAAGCTTACGAACTGGGGTCACTCATGAACTCACGTAGTTTAGTCTGCCCGCTACCAGAATATGATTTCTCGCTATCTTGCCCAACACCAAACGTAGCGCAATACAGGGCGAAGGTTGGTCCACAGCCCTTAGGCTAGCAGAAATTAGGTGCAGGTACTCCTCTGTGCAAATATTCCTGGCCTAACCTTGGGGAGAAAAGTCGTGTAGCTCTTTTTTTTTTCCTCCCTTGTTAAGAGACAGCTAAGTAGGCACCTGGGAAAACGCCAGTAGGATTAACATAGGTCAATAGTTCGATTATTTCTTCCAGTGCTGTCTGGGTTGCCTGGACTCCACAGGAAGGACCTGGGCAACTCGCTCTCTCTGGACTTCAGTGGTCAATTCTCACACATCCGAGGTGTTTTTTGTGATCCATTCCTATTACTTTCAGTGCTGCAGGCCTGGTTTATTAACCTCTCCCCTCAGTGTGCTGTGCAGAGAACGCTTTAACTAAAACCCACGTTTGCTCTAAGGTTTTGTCCTACCAAGCTCGTGACAAAGATAATGAAAGCTGCACTCCCCCTCTCATCCCTGCGCAGTTCCATCGAGCCTCTGTACCTCACCTACGGAATCATATTTGCCTGCGGCTGCTCCTTTGCCTACCAGCCCTCCTTGGTCATCTTGGGGCATTATTTCAAGAAGCGCCTTGGACTGGTCAACGGCATTGTCACCGCCGGCAGCAGTGTCTTCACCATCCTGCTGCCTTTCCTCCTGAGGGTGCTGACGGAGAGCTTGGGCCTCTTCAACACCATGAGGGTCCTCTGCATCTTCATGTTCGTGCTCTTCCTGGCTGGCTTCACTTACCGACCCCTGGGTGCCACGGACAAAGACAAAGACAGAGACTGTGGGACCAAAGGAGCCAACGGCTCCTCCCTCTTCTCCAGGAGAAAGTTCAGCCCGCCAAAAAAAGTCTTCAACTTCGCCATCTTCAAGGTGGCTGCTTACGCAGTGTGGGCAGTGGGAATACCGCTGGCACTTTTTGGATACTTTGTGCCTTACGTTCACTTGGTGAGTATGCGTCTTTACGGCTTGATGATCCCATGCAGACATGCTTCCTGGGAAAACAAGACAGATCATGGTGCAGTTGACCTCAAACATTATCCCGCTGATAATTTGGAGCCTCTTGGAATGAATGGTCTCTCAGGTGCTCGCTGGCACATCCATCGGCCATTAGACAGAGGATCCATTCCGTTGTGTGCTTTGGTATTTGAACATCTCCAAACAAACAAACATAGCTGTGGGGTTTTTTTGTTTTGTTTTGTTTTTTAAGACTGAAAGCCTTGGGACAAATACCACCAACACAAAAACTTTGCGTGACCTAGTCATCTGAATGAAGGACAAAGTAATGTGATGGTTTTGCCAGCGTAAGTTATTTTTCACCAAAAGCCTGCAGAAATTAGGTAGTTAGCAAAGCAGCCAGTGGCCTCCATACAAAGATGCTTTACATCTGCTTGTGGGAAACAGGAATTCTGTTGAGAAGCATGTTTGAGAAAAGATACAGGAATGCCCTGCAAGGGACTTTTCGCTAGGGTTTCATAGGGAGCTAGATTTCAAATGATCAAGCAGTTTATATTGTTTATTTCTGTTCCAGAGGGCAAATTTCAGCCTCTTTACATCCAAACAAGAATAAGCTGTATCTATAGTGTTTGCTCGTGGCGCCAAACTTGCTCAAACATTGTAATTCTGTCCCCTTTTCTTTTTTTGCGCCTGTGACTGGAAACATAGTTACAGTTCTACATAATTGATGAATGATAGAGAAAATGATACTAGCATAACTGTGTGTGTGTGTGAGAGAGGGAGGGGAGAGGGAAGGGATTGAAGGAAGGGTGGAATGGAGCAAAGAGTGGGTCTCTTCAAGCTTACAATCTACTATTCTTAGATATTTATGCAGTTTTTCTTTTAAGAGTTTTGGGGAAGGTTCATATCAGCAGTTCAGAAGCCAGTTCATCAACACTTTCTGGCTGTCTATGCTTAGTTGAAATAGGGATTAGACCAAGGAAACAGGAAGCCAAGTGGGAGGCAGGTCCTCAGTCTAAGAGTAACTCCGATCTCTCAGTTCTTCTTTCTTGTTGCCAGAGCAGTCGAGGAAGTGACTAGGAGGAGCAATGGCGAGCCGAGGGAAAGATTAAGTTTGGTACTCTTCTCAGCTACTTGGCATTTTCAGGAACCTGAGATACTTGGCAGCATAGTTGGTGTGTGTTGGGCTGCTATCCACACAGTGAAGCAGTTCAAAACCACCAGCCACTCCTCAGGAGAAAGATGAGGCTTTATATTCCCGTAAAGAGTTGAAGTCTCAGAAACCCCCAAAGGGCAGTGCTACCCTTTCCTATCGGTGGGGGTCACTATGAGTCAGGATTGATGTGATGTCATTGAGTTTTGTTTTATGTTTTTTGGTTGGAGATACTTGGTATAATGACTTCGTGTGAAATTCATGTAACAGACACAATATGTGGCCACATTTTGATCTAATAGTCATTTTCATATTTTCAGGAAGGCATACTTGAACTCTTAAGAAGCCTTTTGTTGTTGTTCGACGGTATAGTTAATATAGTGGAAGGATCAACTTCATTGACTGACTTCTTCTGTAAGTTCTGCAGTCAGGAGCATATTTATTATTCTCTCTGAAAATGAGTAGAAATATCTCCCCTTCCCCCTTTTTAATGCTGTTTGTATGGCCCGGTAAACACACCCAGATAAATCACTCTCTCGACTTTGCTGAGCTAGACATTTACCAAAGGACAACTTGTAGGTCACTGACTAGTTATTTCTGGTTATATATTTGGAATTTGTACATTCATTTTACACATACTAATTCATTTGGCCTTAAGCACCAACCTGGGAAGTCAGCAAAGTAAGTAGTATTGGCCCCTTCCTTACCTGGTGGCAAGCCTATGACAGCCTAACTTATTAGGAACAAATGGGGCTGCTGCTGGGGGTATTTCAGGATGTTTCATATATACAGTGAACCCTCGTTTATCGCGGTTAATTGGTTCTAGACCCTACTGTGATAAATGAAATTCCGCGAAGTAGGATTCCTTATTTGTAAATCAAATATTTTCGTAGTTAGAGCATAGAGAACATGAAAAAACACCCTTTAGTCACCATTACACTCGTATTACCCAATTTATTAAACGAAAAAGGGAAAATACAGTAAAACATTTTGGATGTTACAATTATCATTTATTATTTATTATATTATTTATGGCATCAAGCGTGTACAGTATGAGCCAATCAGTGGCAGTAATGACAGAGCATGCGCTGTTAGCAAAAACCGCGATAGAGTGAAGCCGCGGAAGTCGAAGCGTGAAGTGGCGAGGGTTCACTGTATTTCGCCTTTTTCTTATGGTAAATAAAATTTCCTAAATCCACTGCCCCATTGCTCTTGAGCTGATGGGATAAACAAGGCAAGTTTGTAGACACTACTGTAGCAGGAGGCTGTGTGCGGTCATTCATAAGAAGATCTGTTAGCTCCAGCAATGCAAGCTGTGCCTTTCTTCTGCTCACCCTCCTTCCAGGCATGTTTTCTTTGAAAAATATGGTAATGTTTTTATTTTTTATATTATTTATTGGAGTGCTTTTATTTTTTTATTATTATTATTTATCCAACTGCTAAGGAACTGAAAGCTACTTTGGAGAACAAGCGTAAGACATCTCAATGCCTTGAAGGCTTAAGTCTCTGCTACTTGGGTGCAGTTGAAGGTTTGAATTATGGACACTTAACTTGGACTTCATGAAACAGAACATCACTTTCCTTCTTCGGAAGGGTAAAGGTCTCTTGAACCCGACCAGAGACTGGTAGGTTGGTACCCCATTCCTGTTACGCTTCTATTGGATGGTGAAGGGGATACACAGATGTGGCATAGGGACCTAGCTGGAAGGCGCATGCACCCATGCTATTGAATGTAACGATGACACTGTTCAAAGTTTCCAGAGCAGTTGTTCGCAAGTTATCTTAGCCGACAATAGCTATGATAGACCACTCTCATCGTGTGGACGAAAAGACCAAGGCTTGGAGAGATTAAATAACTTGCCCATGGCCACAGGAAAAGTGACCTGTTGATAATGATGTTTGTACATCTTCCATGGAAGAGGCAGGATTGCCTAGTGCTTAAGAGAAAACATGGTGAAGGAGGCAGGTCTAGGTTTGAAACCTGGCTTTGGCTTTTGCTGGCAGCATAGCTGTGGGCAGCCTCTCTAATCACCAGCTTTCTGGGGTGTGAAACAGGGCTAATCCTAATGTTGCTGAATTGTTGTGAGCTGTAGGGCAGAATGTATGTCAAACATCTAGCCCAGCTCCTTACATAACAATGAGTGTTCTTTTAGTGACTGCAGTGTGGTTGCTGTCTGGAGGGCTCGAAGGGGGAGCTAGAGAAGGCTCAAAAGGGAAAGGTGGTTAGAAAAAGCATTGTAGCACTGAAATTGGGTCTTGGGCATCAGGTTTCATTTTTTTTAATGGCTCTGTGGTCGATGTGGAATGAATTGTTATGTTTCATTTTAAGGGGACAACTCTTCCAGATTGGTTAGATACACCTAGCGTCCCAAACAGTAAGAAGCTGCCTCAGGTTTAATGAATTGCACCCTGTACCTGAGGGTTAGGTTTTAAAGCGTTCTTTTCCATTTTTTCTTCACTGGACTTTCAGGAGCTTAATACTCCCTTGATTCCCCCTGTTTCCGGATCAATCACACTTTACCATGTATTTTGCTGATTCCTCTTTCTCTCTGACTTTTTGAGTATCAGAGTCCAGAGGCTTGCTCCTTTATCTCTTCCTCTTCTTTGTAGGTACGAATTCCTTCCCCTAGGTTCAAACTTCACATATGTATGTGCTGATGAGGCCATGTGTCTAGTTCTACCTGAGCTCCCCACTCGACTTAGATCGCCTCCTGCTGACTCCGTGACTCCAGACTTCCCTTGTCCAGTCCCACATTCCTCATCTCCTACCCCCACCTTGCTCGGCCCTAAGCCAGCTTCTCTCAGGAGATGGCAGTCCCAGCCTTTCAGCTGACTCCTCTTTCCATCTCTCTACACGGAGGATCTAGTTAGAGGTCCTGGTGGTTTTCCCTTCAGAAACACCCACTTCTCACTGTCCCCATTACTGACAGTTCAGCCCAGACCACCACTGTCCACTACAGTGGCCTCTGAACCAGACTCCCTGCTCCCTGCCCTGTCTCCTGTAGGCTTTTCTTAACACAGGCATGCTTTCCAAACGTAGGTCAATCTGTAGAAAGCTTTTCAATTGTTCCCCATTTCTCACAGTAAAAGTTGATGCCCCTACAAAACTTCACAAGGCCCTCCATGACCCGGTCCCTTTGACTTTTAGGATCTTACCTCTCTCCCGCCCCCTGCTCCTTCTGCCATACCCACGGGGCGGGGGTAGCTTTGTGCACCTTCTGACCAACTCAGCGGCAGTGAGTTTTGGTTTGGTCACTATTATAAGTATATGGAAGGAAGGAATAGGAACTCGAAGTGGCCATACTAGAGCAGGGCAGTCCATAGGTGACTGCCCTCCAGGGTAGCTGCTGAAAACCTCAAGGATACTCAGGTAATATGTGCAGAAGTAGGATGCAGGAGACATAGCGCGGGCATCAAAGTCCACATAGTTTCGAGACAGCACTGAACGGTCATGTCAGCCAGAGGATGACGCATGTTTGAGGAGACAGTGATGAGATGATTCCTCGTGGCACGGAACGCACCCTCCTTGGCAAGAGGATGATGCTCTCGTTTCCAAGGTTCTCCTGCCACCTTGAAAACCTGTTCTTTGATTCCAGAGCACCGGTGTGGGTCAAGCTGTCAACTTTAAGCTCCAGACTGCGTAGTTCTCTCTGAAGACAAAGGTGACTGAGTCATGCCTTACAATCTGTAATACACATGTTTATTACCCTGCCTTTGCGTTTTGTTTTTTTTAAGCACTGATAAGGTGTAAGTGTGCTGGGTTTGTGGCATGTGTGTAACTGTTCTCAAGAAAAACTTTGACCTGGTAGGAATGATCCCATTTATCTGCTGTTGTGAT